CCTTTCCAATTGGCAATAATTCGATTTGCAATGAAACTGTCTTGGGACAAATATAACATAAATTCTCAATCCTTCGAGGATACCAGCGCAAAAGCACGATGCTGAAAACTTGGTTTGAAAAACACAACTTATCGGTTCCAAGAGGTTAAGACCTTGTCAATCGGTAGACCAGAATAGATTACCGAAAGCTTCCTTGTGCTCGGCAAACCAGTATACAAAACGTCTTGCAGTGAGGATAGAGGCATATCTATCTTGAAACACATGTACCATCATCAAAGTAAAAGTGTTGCGTCATAGGTGCTTTGGCTACTCTATTTATTATCATCGTTTAACTTAAGTAGCGCTCTGAAGTAAAGGTATAATAAACAGAACGAAAATAATCATAAGATTTAAGAGAAAAGGAGTTTTAATTATATTTTAATAATAATTATGTAATTTGATCATCTAAAATATTGATTTAAGTTCGGAGGAAACGGAAAAGACAGTTGAGATGGGGGAGGGGGGAGGATTTCCAATAAGTTCACATAAACTCATACCTCTAAGTTAGAGCTCACGATGGTATATATCTATTGAAAAAACCAGTTAGGACGTTTAACTTATCTTCACGATTTGACTATAAAAATGAAAGCAAAAACTAATTGTATCAAAATCACATATTTGAAACAAATACAAAACTTACTGAAAGGATGATTTTTCAGATATACATTACTTTGATTTGGAATTACAGATAATGCGTATAGTGAACCCCACCCACACAGCATATCCATCATTGCCGACATATAATTTTTAAAGAGCATATTCATACAATGTTTTCATGCTACCATGTTTGATACCTTTTCTTAAATGATAATAATTCCTCGTGGTTCTTTTAAAACACAAGTTTCTTTAATCTTACACGTGTATTAATCTGTATTAATCCTTAATACAGATTGATTATTTATACGAGATTTTTCGTCATTCCTTTTTAATTGATAACTGGGTTCATTGTGATACTTCCATAATGATGTATATATTGTATTGAAACTAGTATCATCTCTTTAAGATGACAAATTACTGCTTCTTTGATTTCGTTGTTATCTAAACATTAAGTATCAGAATGAGATAATCAAGAACTTTTTAAATTTTAACAACTGGCAGACTGGCAGGCAAACATATCAGTTTTGCTTTACTGAGACTTGATATTTTCAACTTGAAAAGCACCTTATGCAACACGCATTCAACACGACACTTCACCAGATAAAAGACCAGAAAGTTTAGGAATATCCAGCTCTAATTCGGAACTGCTGATTATTATTTAACTAGTTTTAGTTATGAAAAATTACCGTTTAGCAATGGTGGCTTTCATTTGATAAAGAAACACGTTATTAATGGAAATTAATTGTTTTGTTATTCTACGCTACAAGTAATATAAAATTAGCCTGATAATTGTACGATAACATTCAGATTTTTTATAGATGGAATAGATTATTACTTCTCCTGCAAAGCAGTTTTAAATGCTCCGAGAGTTTTTTGGTATTGTTACGACAGCGAAAGTCACGTGACGCTAGTAACACGTCATGATATTCTAGAAGGATCATGTCTGTTCGTGGCAACTCTGGTCTTTTCTACGCGCCCTCTATTCTTGTATATAAGTGCGCCAGATAAAGCGAAATTAATAAATCGGAATAGAATTGCAGACAGACAGAGACGGACAATTGAGTCAAGCGCGGTAGTGGCCGTAAGTAAAGTGCGTGAATCGTTGTGAATTCTAGTGTGTGTTAACTTAAAGTGCCTATGGAAATTAAGTGTATTGCAAAATTGAATTGAGAAAGAATAAACTAGTTTTATTCAAGAAAGGACTTGTATCGGTGAAATCTCTCGGAAAGAATTTCTACGGAAAATTAACAAACGAACACAGAGACGTAACAGTATGTCTTTTCTGTCTTCTTAGACGGTTCTCCAAACGTTCCAGAGTGGTACAGTTTGAATGAGTTTGAGATGTGGGTATGTTAAGACGGAGTTTGGACGTTATTTGCCTCAAAGTACGGGTGGACACAGCGTGCAGTATGGTATTACTGAAATAGTTTTGGTACTTCCCCGTGAAATTTCATAAATACAGCAGTGCATGATTGTCCGGAATGTCATACATAATGATACAATATTGCATTCATGACTCCCTTAACTACTACCAGGGGGCCAACACCGTAACAGCGCTAAGACACACTATTCAGAATATATCCTCTCCACTATTCATGGTTAGGACAATAGTGTTATATCCCAAATGTTCTTCATACTTCTGCAGATTTCATACCTGTGCATCTAAAACTTTATGCAATTAACGACTTCCATACTTACATGTGATGGTCGGTTTTGGGGCTGCATGCAGCCCGTTCGTGACATCGTGCGACTAAATATCTTCCACTCAATGTATTTACAGGCCTATAGTTTTTCTGATTAAATTCCTTAATAATGAATATTTGCTTTATTGGATTTTATTGCAAAGCAACATAAAGGCTATCTGCGTCAGCCATTTCTAATGTTGAAGTGATAGACTAAAGGGAAGGCACCCACCGCCAACTCTTGGGCTACTGTCTATCAACGAATAGTGGTATTGACCGTCACATTAAAACGCCTCCATGACTGAAAGGATGAGCATGTTCGGAGACGGGTGTCGATCTAGCGACCCGCAGATTGGAAGTTAAGCGTCCTAACCACCAGGCCACGCTAATAATGATTGTTTGTTTGTTTTGGAATTTCGCGCAAAGCTACACGAGGGCTATCTGCGCTAGCCGTCCCTAATTTAGCAGTGTAAGACTAGAGGGAAGGCAGCTAGTCATCTCTTGGGCTACTCTTTTACCAACGAAATAGTGGGATTGACCGTCACATTATAACGCCCCCACGGCTGAAAGGGCGAGCATGTTTGGTGGGACGGGGATTCGAACCCGCGACCCTCAGATTGCGAGTCGAGCGCCTTATCCACCTGGCCATGCCGGGCCATCGCTAATAATGAATAAAACACCAGATTTGCAGTTTCGTTTCACAACACGTTTCAAAGAATGCATGGACCAACAAGTTATTAAATTTGGACTATTGATATTCTACTTTAACACGTTCAGTGATTTGGTCATTTCTGGGGCACATTCCTCACAGTAAATTTGGATTTCAGTGAGTGGAATCTAAAATGCCTTGAGCATTCATGCTAGTTTCATTTTTCTGAAGAAAATCCGTGAATATTTCATTAGTAAACATATACGTGGTATATATGACTGGAAGTAAGAGAGAAAAGATGAGTATGAATTAACGGCAGTTTAAAATCAGAAATTTCTTTATAACCTCTCTTTGTTCTTCGAACTTTTTTGTTTTGTAATTCAGCAAGCGACGTTTTAACAGTTTACCCGGTACAAAGACCACATTCTGCAGACTTACATATCATATCAATAGACAGAGATGATCACGACTTAGAAATTAGATCTGAAGCGTGAAAAGTTTATACAAGATTCTTACTCTTTTCGTGGATTTATGAGTATAATCCTAATAGATTTCAATCTATGTTCTCGATCATTGTGAAAGACTGCTTTCTAAAGTAGTTGCTCAATTATTACCAAGTTTTCAAATAGTCATGTGATAATTACTACCGTACAACACAAAACAAAGATAAAAATTGTTTAAAATTTCTATGATCTTCACCAATAATTCAAAAAGCTGTTTTATTAATCTAAAGAGACGAACAAATTCTGCTATTATTTCCAAAATTAATCATAACCCACAATCTAAAAGTTATTTCAAACAAACGTCATGTTCAGCTTACTCGACTTTCGGAAATAAGATGTAGACTAATATAATTAAAATCATCGGGCTTAATTTCATGTAAAATATACTTATGAGTCTTACCTGATTTCTTCTCTTTCTCTTTCTCTTCAAATTCTTTTAGAGTTCCTTTGTAGTAGAGGTATCTGTCTTGATACGCATAGTAAACTCCGGTAGTAAGAAGCAAGGCCATTGTCGCCAAAGCATATTCTGTTGCCACCATGTTTTTTTTTTTCTTTTGAACTCACTGCCAGGAAAACATTATTCACATAATTCTTTAGCCATAGAATTAGCTTTAAAGCAACTTTTATCGCTGAGCTCATTTATAATACATTTAGCATTGAAAATATCAAGCACTTTTTGTATATTCATTCATATACAATGATAAAACAAAAGTTGACGATTTAACGCTAATGCTGTGGATAGCTATAATTAATTAATAGTTATTGATAACAATTAGAATCATTATTTTATTTGGTTTCCTATATATCTGTAAATAGATAAAAACGAAGAGTTCAACTTGCATTATCATGAACAAAACGAAGGTTAAAGCTAGATGATGAGTTTGTATTAACATCGTACCCACTTCCGCAAATATTTTAAATTTCCCACATCCATACTTTCTAGTGCCTTGCTATTTATTATTTGTCTTTTTCGGGCATGGTAGTTTTGGTATTAGTGCTTTTATTAAACTTCCTATATACTGGGCGTCGGGAACTATGTTAACAAATTTATTATCAAAAATAAAGAATTTTGCTTACATAACTTTCGGACGCTCTTTTCATTTATATATGTTAAGCACATATTTTTAAATCAAATAATTTGTGAATTTTCGACCTAGGCCTAAAAGGGATCAAACTTTTGTCGCCCTGATGGCAGGCCAGTATTATTCAGTCCTCGAAATTAGCAACGGCATTTTATGATACGCGTCAATTACGACGGCAAAAAAAAAAACTAAAAATGCCGCAAGAAAAAATACGCGCAAAATATTCCCCATTTAACTTCTTAAGGTTTTCCTTTCAAATATTAAGATTTTATAGAAAATAAAATTGCTGATAAAAATATAAAATTTAATGATACAAACACCTCATCTTGTCTAGTTTTAAATGTTAGTTACGACTGAATTAAATAGATTGTTGTAACAGGCGATCATGGAAACTAGCGTCTGATTTTGCCACATACATGTCCATTGCTTAAGGAAAGGCCAATAAAATATATAAGCTGTTAACGTTACAAGTCAAGCTTCCATGTCTAATTACCAATATGTAATGGCCCGGCATGGCCGAGTGGTTAGGGCGCTCGACTCGCAATCTGAGGGTCGCGGGTTCGAATCCCCGTCACAACAAACATGCTCGCCCTTTCACCCCTGGGAGCGATATAATGTGACGGTCAATCCCACTATTCGTTGGCGGTGGATGGTGATTACTAACTGCTTTCCCTCTAGTCTTACACTGATAAATTAGGGACGGCTAGTGCAGAAAGCTCTCGTGTAGCTTTGCGCTAAATTAAAAAAAACAAACAAACCATTATGTAATTTAATATTTCGCGCGGACCGCTGAAAATATTGATAATTCTCTATGTAGTAGCTTCTACACTGTATTAATTTGATTAATAAAACACGTGTTTTAATGAAAGTGCAATCCATAACCAGAACTATAACGCACTATATTAAAACACGTTATTGTTTTTATTTATTTATTTATTGTGCGTTTTAGTATCGGAAGAGACAGACAAGTTTATTATAAATTTACAAGAGTTTAGCATATGTTAGATACTTCTTCCTATAGAGCAAACAAGAAAGATAAGTTCAGTTTAAAGTTAGTTGAAGAATAAAGAAAATCAATGTTTGAAAAAAGTTGTTAGAAATATTTTACTGCAGTTTGCTAGCGTTAAGACTTTTTTACGAGTATTGTTTCATTTTGAATTTCTGTGAAAGTTGAATATTTGATAATGGGGGGCAAAGTTTGCGCCTCTGGTTTATTCATCAAAAATATTTAATCAGTATAAATCCTTAATGTACATTTTAAATTTTTTACGATGGTGAGGAAGCTTGGATTGAAACCCGCTCGTCTATTAAGTGCATCTTTAAGTGGAAGAATATTTTAAAAATGGACGACGGCATCAGTCCAGTAATAGTAGTGGAATTAGTGTCTAGGAAATGTTTTGCAATTGATGTTATTCAATGTAGATGTGCTGATTCCGAATCGGAATGATGCTACTTCGACATTCTTGATCGTTTCGAGGTATTCAAGATGGCGACAAAAATGGCTGCCAAAACATATATTTGCCAATATCTCAGCTTCTACTTGCGATATCACAACAAAATATGTGTCTACACCTAAGTTTTTGATGACTCTAACTTCAACTTTGCATCTTTAATTGCTCTCGGATCAATGCTCTTTCCAATACCGTTACCTTAACTCATGATCAACATTTTCAGCGGTTAGCATTATGCAAGTACAATGTAGACATATCTTAAACATATATGTATTTAGATACACAAATTTCATCCATACGTAGTTTCACAGATCTGATGTGGGATATTCACCTAACAACTTCCTGCAACAGTGGTCTCCACTGTCAGAACTAAGCATGGAGATTACCCAGCACTTGGTGATAACCATCTTTTATCACATACTTATCTTGTAACTAATTAAAACTATAATATTTCTGCTATCATATATCTTCTAGGGCTCTATTATACGACCTGTTATCAAATTATCTTATCAATCTAGACAACATAGATTGCAACAAGTTTGCAATGTAAATTGTATGTACCTTAACCACCAGGAAATTCATGAAATCGTTTTCACCAGTGTGGTTCATTACTGTTTTAGTCCAGTTATTATCGCAATTGCTGTTGCTTTCATTCAACTTGCAAATGACACTGCACGGCAACTGATTTGCTACACAGCTACACCTGGCTGTTGAACAAGGTCGCCCACTTGTACACCCACAGCAAGTCATTTGATGTATATTGGGTGCAGTTACTGGCTTTTCAACTGATAACGTGACAGAAACAAAAGTAGATGTCAGTATGTCACGCTCCCATCCTAACTCAGGCGGATCAAGATCTGAGGATCTTTGTTTATGCTGGCATCCATATACATGTCTGAAGATGAGGTCTCTTGATATTTTCAACAAAAGATCCCGTGTTTTTATGAGTCGGATAACTTCCAAAGCATGCATTAGGATCTCCAAAATGATCAAGTTTGTAGCCTGTTGACGATACTTTGATAACAGTTGCTTTTCCTATTCCCCACTTGGAGACTGCAAAATCAAGGTTATCTAGCAATAGCCAATAGGTTTGATACTGAAAACATATTTTATAGTTGTTCAAATATTTTGCAAATAACTCAATTAGCAAAATACATTTTTTCAGATAATACTTACAGGTCGGTTTAAAGGTTGACATTTTCGTAACAAGAACCTTATGAACAGTAGGCCTATTCAGAGAGTAAAATACGCTTTGCCTGATGATATTCGCAGGTCAGTTTGAAAGTTAACCTTCTCGTAACAATAACCTTGTGAAAATTATTCAATGGTCAAAATACACGATGACGATACTCACAGGTCAGTGTGAAGGTTGACCTTTTTGCAGCAAGAATCTCAGATTAAACCTGGTAAGCGGCTAGTGTAAAACATTTACTAGACACTAGTGAAGCCTAAATTGTGTCTTGGCAACTAGACTATTTGCCAAGCTGTTATCTTAATTAATGCACTTGCGGCGGCATTTCTTACGCCGTGAATTTTATGCCCTAATTTTGAGAACTCTTTATATATACATAAAACCAAACCAGAGATGTCTATTATGAGATTCTAATTTAAAAAAAAACATTGTTCATTGCCAGTCCTTTTCATTATGTATTAACTTATAACGGAAAATATCTGTTGTCATAGAACCTAAAAGTATTGGGATATTCCATCTATCAGACATTATCCAAACTCAAATGACAAACTAGGTAGTTGCTACGAAAGATCAAATTATGGGTTAGGAATTGAATGCTTTGAACCACAATGTATCGGTTAAAATTAATTAAACACCCGCCCTCCTCTCCTAACCACCCAGTATTCTGAAGGCGCAATAATCACAGATTTTTGGTTTTCGCGGTGTAAGTAAAAATTGGATGAATAAACAAATTCATAGGTTCATAATAGATTAACGCAAACTCAAGTGGAAATTTAAAGGATACATCTTGGCGGGGGTTCGGGGGACCAACCGCCCCCGACGGCTTGTTTTCATTTTAAATACAAACAACAGAAATATTTGAATCGACATTGTAGTGTACAGCTCAATGCATCATCTCAGTGTCAAGGTAACTTTACTGACTGGAAGCTTTTAACATGTGTAATGAATCGGGGATATAACATTCGTTGTCTCAGCACTATGGAATAAGAATCTTGAATGTCTATTCTCTAAGCCTCCCAGTGGCACAGCGGTACGTCTGCGGACTTACAGCGCTAGAAACCGGGTTTCGATACCCGTGGTGGGCAGAGCACAGATAGCCCTTTGTGTAGCTTTGTGCTTAACTACAAACAAACCATTCTTTCAGAAGAGCTAGATTCCCAACTCCAATCCTGATGCGTAAATATTCGGGCTCTGCAATTAACAATATACATGCAAACGAAAAAATAATATCAAGGAAATTATGACAAGCATTATCCATCCGTTCATAAGAATTACAAGCTTTTACGTCATATCCTGGGGGTGTTTTTGTTATTGGACCATCGGACCTTTGGAGTTACGGCCCTCGGACTAACGGACCGTCACCGACGAAACCCATTTAAGTATAATTCGGGCAAGCTAAACAAGCCCAACTACCTGAAGTTTGTCTTTGCGGCCCGAATTATACTTGAATGAATTTTATCAAGGGAGGAAGATGGGTGTTTAATTAATTATTACGGAACTATCAAGATAAGGGTTTACGGTTCCAATTACCATCATTTTGTAATAGTTATTTAAAGGGTGAATATTGGGAGTTATAGAAACATAGGGGGGTTTATTTCTACTATAAGGTTATTTTAGTAACTGCTTTGTGTCATAATATTAAGGGTGACTGAACTTCCCAAAACTAGCTGCAGACAGCGAAAGCAGTAAGAGTTGAGATGTTGTGGGTCAAAGCACTCATCTCCTAACCCTTAATTTCATCTACCTAGTTTGTCATTTGCGTTTGATCATGTCCGATAGATGGGTTGTTATGACCACAGACAATTTCCGTTATGAGTTTATAAATAATGGCAAGTAGT